TAGTATTTAAATCAATTGTTTCGATGAAGGTATGCTTGTCACATTCAAGTATAATATAAAGCTGAGAAGGATAACCAACATTTTGGTTGACAGTCACAATAAAGACATTAAACAATGATCTCACTAGGCTGGAAGGAGGAACCTAAAACAATCAAATAAGATTTGATAGAGTTACATATAAAGTCCTATATTTGGATTCAAAAAATCAACTATTCAAGTACAGCATAGGGGAGGAAAATCTGTAAGACAGTTCCTGTGAAAAAGGTCAGGGGGCCTCAGTGGACTTCAAGCTTAATATGAGTAAGCAGTATTCAAGGCATTTCCTGACAAAACCTAACACTGCAATGATAAAAAGAAGCATGGTATTCAGAATGAAGGCTAGAGGGAGGGAGAAGAGAATAAGCATTTATTAAGCACCTATTACGTGCCAGACACTTTTACAAATATTATTTCATTTTAACTTCACAACAACCCTGGAAGGAAACTGCTATTATGATCCTCACTTGACTTTTATTTATACACCAGCAGCCTCTAGCCTGTTCAGACTGTCACATCTGGATTATATTAATTGCTGGTGACATTTTAGGAAGGTCATTAACACCCTAGATAGAGCATGTCCAAAGTAGAGGCCAAAGGATAGGTTTTGGATAGAGAAGAGAATAGAGACCGTGGTATCCAAATACTGACTAAAGGAACTCAGAATGTTTAGCCTAGAGTAGAGAAGACCTAGGAGGAAAATGATAGATGAATAACATGTCAAGAGGGATGGGTAGCTAGGTGGCAAAGTAGATAAAGTACTGGGCCTGGAGTTAGATAGACCTGAGTTCAAATTGGGTCTCAGACACTTACTAGCTGGGTGACCATGGGCAAGTCACTTCACCCTGTTTGCCTCAGTTTTCTCATCTGTAAAATGATCCAGAGAAGGAAATGGCAAACTGGTTCAGTATCTCTGCCAAGAAAACTCCATGAAGAGTCAGGGTCGTGAAGGGTCATGAAGAGTCAGACAAGACCTACTACTACTCAACAACAACAACAAGGAGGAGGAATCAGGCTTGTTTTGCTTGGCCACAGAGAGCAGAGTGAGAGGGATAAGATGCAGGACAGGCAAGGTTAAGCTTGATTTCAGGAAGAAGCTTGCCATCTTAAAGTGGAAGGGGTTTCCTTTGAAGGTAGTGAGTTCCTCATCATTGGATGTCTTCAAGAAATGCCTGGATGACAACCTTCAGGGAATGTTGCAGAAGGGACAGATTCCTATTTAGGCTCATGTTTGATGAATTGGTCCCTGAGGCTCCTTCCAGTTCTCAGAAGGCTGTGGTGGTCAAATGAAGAACTAACATGTACCTTCTATCCTTCTAAAGCATCATATGAAATGAGGGGCCATTTCTTCCCTCAGCTAGCCTCTCCTGTAACCACAGCTGGCTTTCAAGGTTCAGAACAAGATGCTTGTCTCTAGAGGATTCAATTCCAGACAATTCTCATCATGGTGAATTCAAAGCAGTCTGTGAATGTGACCAATCTGTCACCCTAGACAGAAGTGGATCTCAGATCTCTTCTGACTCCCTGTCTGCACTTCTCCAAAAGCACTTAGCTAACACTAGCTTGTGAAAATGTGGGTAGCTGGCTTTATCCCCTTCTACCAGCTCCATAAAGCACCGAGGTGGATCAATAACATGCTGGTCTTGTGAGTTAGGAGGACTTGATTTAGAACCCCTCCTCAGACACTTACTAGCTGTGCAGTTTCTTCATTTATAAAATAGGGATAATCATAGCACAGAGTTGCTGTGAGGACCAAATCATATTTTACATGCACACATACACACATGTACATATACATAGTTCAGATGGTTATACATATATATATACACAGTTACATAGATAGGTATATAGACATAGTTATATAAAAACTTAGACCAGAGAATGTCAGAGCTAGAAGGGGCCTTTAGAACTCAAAATATGCAAGCTAGAAAGGGCCTTAGAACTTAGAAGATTGGAGCTGGGAGAGCTCTTACTGGAGGGAACCTTAGAACACAGAATGTCAGAGCTGGGAGGGGTCTTAGAACAGAGAACAGAAGAGTTAAAAGAGACAGAATGTTAGAGCTGGACAACTTAGAAAACAGTATTAGAGCAAGATGAGATCTTAAAACACAGAATGTCAAACCATAGATTTTCAGAGCTGGGAGTCAGAGCTTGAAGAGGCCATAGAACATAGAACATTAGAGCTAGAAGGGACCTTAGAACAGAGACTATCAGAGTGAGAAAGGACTTCATGACATAGAATATTAGAACACAGAATGTTAGCACTAGAAGGGACCTTAGAGATAATATAGTCCAATCCCCTCTTCTTTTTTTTTTTTTAACAGATAAAGAAATTGAGGCTTGGAAAGGGCAAGTGATTTTTCTAAGAAGGAAGAAAACATGCAGGCATGAAGATGGATGCGAGTCTCTTGTCTCTGACTCACATGAGAAAACTGGCCTGGCTGAAGCAGAGGGTACATGTTAGAGAGCAGCAGATAAAGTTGGTAGGGCCATCTGGTTATAGACCTTAAAAGCCAGACAGAGGAGCTTGCATACAAGGTGGCTGGCAGAAGTCATCCACTGTAGTTTCTTGAGCAGGGAAGGGAGGCTGAGGAAAGAATCTAGAAGAGAATGTGGTCACCCAATCTTGGCCAAGTAGAGTTAGGAGTGATGACAAGACATCCAAAAGGAGCTGTCCAGCAGGCAGTCTAGGAGGAAGAACCAGAGCAGATCAGTATCCAGCATCACTGTGAAGTTACTAAAATTTTAATTTCCCAGAAGGTGCCATAGAGAGCCATTTATATCTCTCCTGTCAGTAGGGCCTGACTGATCACAGGATCATAGGACTTGAACTGGCAGATCAGTAAAAATCATCTAGCTCACCCCCTTCAACTACCAGGTGAGGAAATTAAGATTCAAAGAGGGGAATTGACTAGTGGCTAGCCCAATATTACCCAGCTGGGATTATAAGCACAGTTGGGATTGGAATCCTGGTCCTCTTCCTCCTTGAATTATCTATACTGATGGTCAGGACCATCAGTCATTTCAACTGTATTATTTATCAGCTGTTCCAACTTGAACTGAACAGTTTTCCGGGGTCTTTTTCCTCATTTGCAAAATGAGGAGAGTAGACTAGATGATCATCTAAGAGCCTTTCCAATTCTTGATTCTGTGATCTTCCTCCCCTTCCAGAGGTAATTCTGCTTTTGGCTCATCCCCAGGACCTGAATCCATCCCAGACCTAGTGTGAAAATCCATATCTGATAAGAGAGCTCATCAGCTAGCTCTGGGAGGGTCTTGGAACCTCAGAACTAAACTAGACCTTGATGTCCCAGCAGTGTGGTCCTGAAATTCCAGCTTCATTGTAGATGCCAACCTTGTAAGTATTCTTATGGGTCCTGGGACTATACCTCTCCTTCACCACCACCCCCAATGTAGCTTGGAACCCTGAGTTTAAAATCAAAGAGGTCACTGTGACGTAGTGGAGGACTGGATGGATATGGAATCAGAGGACCTCAATTCCAGGCCTGACTCTCACAGTCTGTGACCTTGGGCAAATCACTTAACCTGCATGGGCCCCAATTTCTTCTTTTTAAAATAATGGAGCTTGGCTGGCTGACCTAGAAGGTTCCTTCTAGCTCTAAATGGTTTAATCCTAAAGGCCTTCCTGAAAGCACAGAGTCCTCCATCAGATTAGAAGCTCTCCAAATTCAGGAACCAATCTTTTTCTTCTTCATAAACTCTCCCCATCACCATCACACAGACCCAAAGTAGAGCTTTGCAGAGAAAGGACAGTCAGGGTAGAACTAAGAGACTGATGACAGACTGGGCTACCCACCCCCTATCCCCAGTCTGTCTGATTCTGGGCTGATGGGCCCCTAAGCCGGTGAAGTGGCAGGTCCTGGTGAAATGTCAGCTCTTCTGCATGCCTGATCAATCCTCCAGCTGTGGCTCTACCTCCCCACCAACGCGGCCCCACGACTTTGTCCTGAACCTAAGAGATGGTAGTTTCCCACTGTGCTCCCACCACCACCTTGCTCTCTACTGTGCTGGCAGGAAACAAAGTGAGGCAGTGTATCCCCTCCCACCTTCCACTACTACCAGGGAAATCACTCCCACAGAGATGCTCAGCGATCATGGGTGGGGGGAGGGGAGGCTCTGCGGGAGGAAAGGGGGAATCCCCCTGTGGGTGAGGTCAAGGATGCTGCAGAGAATGTCGAGATTTAAAAAAAGTGGGAGACCCCTCGAAAGGTCCAAGGGAGATTCCAAGAAGGGCAGGGAAGGTACCCCGAGGTTTTAAAAATTAAATCTAACCCTCCCCTTGCGGGGTTTGGGGAAAAGCGGTTGGGGCGGGGGGGGGGGGGCCAGTGTCCTGAGTGAAACAGAGCCCGGCGCACTGGCTGGGGTGGGAGGGAACCAGGGAGAGAGAGAAGGGGGAGGGAGCGCCAGAGCCAGCGGTCCCGCCCGCTGATGCAGGCAGCTTGGGGAGGTGGAGCAGCCGAGCCAGGAGGAGTCCCAGCCACCGCCGCCGCCGCAGCCTAGCTCAGTGATTACCCCACTGGCCGTCAGCTCCACAGACGCCTCGCCTCGTCTCGCCTCCCTGCCGCCGCAGTGTTGGTGGATGACGAGAAGAGCGCAGGACTCCCCCCACCCCCGACCCACTCTCGGGACGAAAGCAGCTGTCGGTGCGCCGCTCCCCCTCCCGTCGCCTTTCCCAGGCTGGAGGGTGGCCAGAGCTCACTCGGTTCTCCCCTCCTCTCGGCCCCAGCAGAAGCCGCCTCTCTGCCAGGCACCACCGGGCATCTACGCGGCCAGCCTGGCAGCTCGGGAGCCAGCTTCAACGGATATACGGGCATCCGCAGACTGGGCCTTGCCAGGCATCTTCGTTTCTGCCCCCGGCCCCTCGGGGCACCTCGGGGCCAGCTCGCCAGGGCAGGGCGGCCCCGAGCCACTCCTCGCCAACAGCCGCTGCCGCCGCCGCCACAATGCTGCCCTGGAGACGAAGCAAGTTCGTGTTGGTGGAGGATGACACCAAGCGCAAAGGAAAAAGCCTGAGCCCCCGGCTTGCCTACACGTCGCTGCTCTCCACCTTCCTGCGCTCTTGCCCGGACCTGCTGCCCGACTGGCCTCTGGAGCGCCTGGGTCGGGTCTTCCGCAGCAGGCGCCAAAAAGTGGAGCTCAACAAGGAGGACCCCACTTACACCGTGTGGTACCTGGGCAACGCCGTCACCCTGCACGCTAAGGGCGACGGCTGCACAGATGACGCCGTTGGCAAGATCTGGGCGCGTAGCGGGCCGGCGGGGGGCACCAAGATGAAGCTGACGCTGGGACCCCACGGCATCCGCATGCAGCCCTGCGAGCGCACCGGGGGCTCGGGGGCCCGACGACCGGCGCACGCCTACCTGCTGCCGCGCATCACCTACTGCGCTGCTGACCGCCGCCACCCGCGCGTTTTCGCCTGGGTGTACCGCCACCAGGCGCGCCACAAGGCCGTGGTTCTGCGCTGCCACGCAGTGCTGCTGGCGCGGGCGCACAAGGCGCGGGCCCTGGCGCGCCTGCTGCGCCAGACAGCGCTGGCAGCCTTTACCGACTTCAAACGGCTGCAGAGGCAGAGCGACGCGCGCCACGTGCGCCAGCAGCATCTCCGGGCGGCCGCGGGTGCCGCCGCCGCCTCGGTGCCCCGAGCGCCCCTGCGCCGTCTTCTCAACGCCAAGTGCGCCTACCGGCCGCCGGCCGCGGAGCGCGGCCGCGGTGCGCCTCGCCTCAGTAGCATCCAGGAGGAGGATGAGGAGCAGGAGGAGCAGGAGGAGCAGGAGATGGGGGCCACTGGGAAGGAGCAGGAAAAGGCTGAGCGGGAGCTAAGCATAGAAGGCCGTGAGGCCCAGGGCCCGCAGCGCGAGCGCCCCGAGGTGCTGAGCTTGGCCCGGGAGCTGAGGACGTGCAGTCTGAGGGGCTCCGCAGCCGCCACTCCCCGGGCCCCACCCCCGACCCCTCCCCACAAGGGCTGCCTGCCGGCCCTAAAATGCCCGGCCTTGGATTCTGCTTCTGGGCAGCCCCTTCCCAGCCCCTTGCCCTGCCACCAGGCCCTGTGTGTTGCAGGGGGGTGGTAGTTGGTGCCTGGTGGCTAGCACAGAGGCCCCTCTCCGATCTTCCTTGCACTCCAACACTTCCCCAACTCAGGATCTCCTTCCTTCCCTTTCTCTGACCCTCTCCGAACAAACCTCTCCCCTTGCCAGCAGACCCCAGGCCCTTCCCTTCCCCACACCTAGCCACTTGAGAAGGGATGGAGAGTTTCCAGAGGTCTAGGATAGCTTATACCTGGACCCAGGCAATGGAGATGTGGCTGCAACAGGGAGGGTTAGAACTCTGTTCTAGAAACTCCCTTTTTCCTTCCCCTAGGGGACCTGGGGGTGCTTAACATGAGGTTAGTACCGTGAACTAGAGGAATTGTAAGGGGACGATGAACCACCTACTTCTATGCTCAGGACTTGCCTCCAAGATGACTCAGCACCCCCAAAGACTGGGAAGGGTGAATGGCCCTTAAGACCTTCCCCACCCCAGCAACTCTCCAAAGGTTGGGGACTACTCTCTTTACTTTTGGCCCTTCTTAGCCCTGCCACTGAAGGAGAGACTGGACAGAAAACCAGGCCTATTGTAGTGGCACCTCCTCCCGGGCCCAGCAGCCTCTTGCCATCCCTACAGGACTGCTGATTCCCCACCCCCCAGGGCCCTCTTCTCTGCAGATTCAGGTGTAGGTGGATCTATTTAGGAGCCCCTCCCCAATATCCCTGGACCAGGATGGGGCACTGCAGGAGGTAAGGTGACTACAGGGCAGATGCTCCAAGCACTGATGTTACTGGGGGCAGAATCCCTAAATCAAAGACTGTCCTAAAAGGAGGGTCATGGAGCAGCTTTCTCTCCACTGAACAAAATGAATGGGTATGTTAACCCAACAAGGGGATGGGCAGTTGTTAACTGCTCACAGGCCTCTCTACTTGCTGAGGTCACAGAAAGCCCAAAGATCAAGATGTCACCAACTGATCACTGATAAATAAAGTGGATTTGCCTTTTCAGCTCTGCCAAGCTCCCCAATGGTCTTTATTAGAAGCGCCAGTTTGTGTTGAGCAGAATCTAATTTAGAGCCAGAAAAGATCTTAGAGCTTGTTCTGTCAGTACAGCATCATGAATAGAGTGATGGAGTTGGAATCAGAAGACCCAGGTTTGAACCCCACCTTTGACACTGACTGGCTGTGTGATCATGGGCAATTCACCTCTCCCAGGTTCAGTTTCCTAATCTGTGACATGGGAATAATAACACCTGCAGCATCTCCAGTGCCTGGCATATATTTGGCTTATTGATCATTATTCTCCATTAACGGGTTGGGAGTCTCAAATGGGATAATGCACACCAGCCAGTAAGTTACTAACATTTATTAAGAGCCGACTTTGTGCCAGGCACTATGCTGAGAGCTAGGGGTCCCCACTTTGCAAACCTTAAAGGCTCTATAAATATAACTTATTAGGCTCATAGATTTAAAAGCTGAAGAGTCACATAGTCCAATTCCCTAATTTTACAGATAAGGAAACTGATGCCCCGAGAGGTGAAAAACCTTATCCAAAGTCATACAGGTATTCAGTAGAAGCATTGGAATTTGAACAATAGTTCTCTGATTCCAAACCTTTCCACTACTTAGTACTCTATCAACCTGCTTCTTTGGCCAGAGGTGATGGGGTTCATTCAGACCCCTGGAAGGCAAAGGAAGGTGCCAGGACATGACCCCTTTCAGCAGCTGGACCTAGCTCCTCTGGGGAAGGAGCTGTCATTATGCACTGAATTATACTGAATAGGTGGCATGGGCTGGGCATGGGTCCATCTGATATGTCCTTCTGGGAAAGTGAATGTTCATGGACCTGCAGGGTATTGCAAGCACGGGATATGATTGTGTCTTTCTGTCTGCCTTCAAGAATAAGCCATCTGCAAGAATATCCATACAGATGGAATTCTGCTTGGGATCAGGGGTGAGGGTGGGGACACCTGCTAAGCTAGTCTGTCTGAAGACAAGTGCCTGCATGTCTCTTGAGTGTGTGTCCACAGAGTTTCCAAAGGGATGCAGGAGTGGGAGGAAAACAGGTTGGCAAATGAGCTGAGGACATCCGAGTTCTCATTCAAAGGAAACTATGGAAATGTGGCCAAGCCTTTCCCAACACTCTGCAGTCTTGAGATGCAATATTTCCCCAATCCTATTTTCTAGCTGGGATCTGAGCCCGGAGTACCTAGTACCCAGAGGGACACCATCTGCAGTCTCCAGTGAGCAGACTTCTTCCAGTGGCTCACCCAAGCATCTGCAGTTCCCCAGAGAAGAGATAAATGGGTGGCGCTGGAAGCCAAGAGTCATATTGCTGTGTCACGCTGGCCCTGCAATGGGCCAGGTCAGGCCAGTGGCTTTGGGAGGGGAGTATGCCAGGCAGGCACCCTCTACTTGCTGGGTTGGGCAGCAGCGCACGTGGAGAAAATGGACTCATTGCATTGCCCCCTTGAGCATTATTAGGGATAGTCTGATGTTAGCCCCATTTTGCAGTTGGAGAAGGTAAGATACCATGATCTGCACCTGGCATCAGACATGAGATGAGAAGCTAGGTTTCCATATCGTTTGATAGTATGCCATGTGCCCAGACAGCTTCCTTCTCAGCTCAGCTGCCTCAATACTCCCTTCTTCTAGTCTAAAACACAGAATATCAGCTGGAAGGGACCTCAGTTTCCTTCTCCTCAGATCCTCCTAGATCTCTAAGATTCCTTCTGACTCCAGATGCTGGGAATACAGACTGTTAGAGCTGGATGTGGCCTTAGGGCTGGGAGGGCTCTTAGCACACAGAATGGCAGGGCTGGGAGGGGCCTTAGAGCACACAAAGCTGGGAGGGGTCAAAGAACACAGAATGTCAGAGCTGGAAGGGCCCTTAGAACACAAGATGTCAGAGCTGGAAGGGACCTTAGAACATTGATGGCACAGCTCAAGGGGCCTAAATTTCCTCTTCTGAAGAATGAGAGATTTTGTTGTTGTTTTGTTTTGTTTTTTTAATGAGAGAATTAGACTAGATCTCTAAGCTCTTGGTCCTATGAATGTTAGCCCAGAACATGGTGTCTTCAAGTTGTAAGAGCCTTAAAGAGCATCTTTTCCAATCCTCTAATGTTATAAATGAGAAACAACTCAAGGTCCAGACAAACAGATGATGCTGAAGGTCACGTAGACATTTAGTAGCTGATTCAGAACTAGAACACAGGTGTTCTAACTCCCAGTGCTTTGCCTTCCCCCTTGTGACAACAGATCAGCCGAGGGCCCCTAGATGTGGGACTATGAACAGCAACTTCTCTATGTGCCTCAACTAACTTATCTGAAAAATGGGGACAATATGCTTTCACATCAGCCCCACAAGGTTGTTATGAAGACAGTGCTTTGCAAACTTTAAAGTGCTATAGAAATGTGAGTACTTATTGTTTGCTCTCCTGGGCTTCTCCTGTGTCCTTACTGGGTATGGATCCCCTTCACACCGGATTCCTGGACCCAGGTCCCACTGAATGGCAGACCCAAATTCACTCCTACAAGGTAAAAGAAGCCCCACAGCAGACCAGGGTCCCTTTTCTAGACCAAACATGGCAAACAAGGGATGAAAACAAGCATTTATTAAGAGCCTACTAGTGCCAGGCACTGTGCTAAGCACTTTACAAATACTTCATTTGATCCTCATAACTCAGGGAGGCTATTATTATCCCCATTTTACAGTTGAGGAAACTGAGGTAAACAGAGGTCTAAATGACCTGCCTAGGGTTACAAGGCTAGTAAGTATCTGAGGTGGGATTTGAATTTGGGTCTTCCTGATTCCAGGATCAGCACTCTATCCACTAGCTGCTTCATAGGATCCTAGGATTTTGAGGTCGAATGACTATCATTTTACAGATTAAAAAAAAAAATGAAGCTCAGAGAGCTAAGTAGTTTTCTCTGCATCCTCACAGACAGTAACTAGCAGAGCCAGGATTCAAACCCAGGTCCTCTGATTCCATCTATAGCCACAATGCTCCCTCCACTATGCCATACTGTCTCTGGTGCTGAGCCTCTGGGTGCAGCCCGAAGGCTCAGATCATTGCTGCTTCCACGTCTTCCGTCTTAGTTGTGTTTAGCAAGTTCCAATCACCAGGGCCCTGAGAATAATGGAAGATTTCCCAAGAATACATTGATCAACAGGGGTCATCGAGGGGAGTCTGTCTTCAGTTGATCAAGAAACCTAAGAAACAAGGTCCTGTCCAAGAATTAAATCTATCCCCATTCCAGACCCATATCTAGAGGGGCTTAGATGAGTAGATGTATGCTCAACATCTGCCCCTAGCTGTTGAAACAGATAGACCAAGAAAAGGAATTTGCCAGTGACTCTGAAATGCTCTTCTGGGAATCAACCAACAAGCATTTATTAAGCACCTACTGTGTACGTGTCATTGGGCTAGGTGACGAGTATACAAAAAACCCCTGACCTTAAGGAGCTAACACAGTAATAGAGGTTAGAGGTTCAAAGCTAGAGTGACTCTCCTGGGCAGGGATGCCCTCGGTGGAAGAATCTCAGGGTTCAAAAGTCCTCAAAGGTCATCTAATGCAAGTCACATCTGCACCCAAATTCCTTCTATAACATTCTGAACTAACTGTCATCTAACCTTGTCTAGAAACCCTTTAGTAATAGGAAACTTGGGACCTTGATCATTAGAAAGATTTTCCTTGTATTGAAGGAAATTCAGCAACTTCCACCCTTGGCTCCTAATTCTTTCTAAGGGCTATACATTTAGAGCCAGAAGAAAACTTAGAGGCCAACACTGGCAATTAAAAGATGAGGAAACTGAGGCTGAGAAAGATTTAAGTAATACCAAGAGTCACCCAGCTAGTGTCTGAGTCAGGATTTGAACTCAGATCTTCTGGACTCCAAGCATACTACCCTATCCACTGTGCTATCTAGCTTTCTCTCTTTCCTCTGAGGCCAGTGTAAATGTTCAATTCCTCTTCTATGTAACAGTCAGTTTTGTATCCTAGACTACACATGGGTATTGTTCCCTGTCCCTTACTGAAACACAGAGCCACATCACTGCTTTCCTTCCAAGGGGATGAAGGAGAGAGTTGGGGGCCCCACACAGGCTTGAGGAGGAGGGATAACAGTGATTCCAAAATACCTTTCCATAAGTTTGCTAAACACCTTGTATCAACCTTATAAGGTAGATAATGCAAGTATCACTACCCCCTTTTAACAGATGAGGAAATAGACTCAGACCCTAGCCTAAGGTCACACAGCTACCACACAGTGGTAGAACGGTATCCTGACCCATATCTTCTGACTCCAAATGCAGTGCTTCACCTGAAAGGTCCACCTAGAATGGTGGCCCAGCTTTCCAAAGATCCTCAAAATCCAGGTCTTTCCAACAGCTCTTCACCCCTGGATAGAGGAAGTAAACAAATTTAGGAGCTATGTGAAAGGAATTAGGCTTTTGTCTTCTTGAAGATAAGTCTAGGAGTAAAAGGTAAGGATCAATGATTTAATAACTCCTTGGTCTGGAAGAAAATTATTTAAATGAGAGAGACCAAGAGTCCTCCATCTTCAAGAAAAAAATAATTAGAGATTGTAAGAACCAGGATTTAGAACAGACATCACAAAATCTGAGTTGGAAGGGACCTCAGCAACTATTGAATCCAGTACATACCTGAACAAGAATCCCCTCTATAAATTCCTTCACAAGTAGTCAGCCTTGCCCTGCAGACTTTTAGTGATAGAAACTCACTTCTTTCTAAGGTTACTAATTCTACACTGAGACAGCTCTATTTTGAAAATTGTCCTCATGTTACAACTAAATCTGTTTCTTTGTGATGTCTAACCATTGTTCCTGGTTCTATTCTCTGAAGTCAAATGAAACAAATTTCATCTTTTTCAAGTAACAGCCCTTTGGATGGATGGATGGATGGATGGATGGAAAAATGTTTATTAAGCACTTACTATATGCCAAGCACTATACCAAGTGTTGAG